AAGAGGGGGGGGGTGGGCTGGCAGTTCTTTAACGGTATAGGCAGGCGCATCTCTTGGAATCCAGGTCGCTGGGCTGAAGTGTTTGCAATTAGGCTTCTGAGGAGTGAAAGAAATCGGTAGAAGGAACTAAGTAGTCTAGAGGCAAGAGCTCCGTGAGGGCCGGGGGAACTCCCAGACAAAGGTGTTGTGGGGTAACTTACCTCCATTAACAAGGGGCGGCCATGATTATGTCTGCAAAGGGCTTGGTGTATTTGTAACGTTAATTGTGGAATTTTAGTTAGCGGCAAGAACAGTTTTACTTCCATTTTTATTTTCACTACACGTTTACTTTTTGCAGCGGCAGGACACGTGTGGAATGGAGAAGGCCATTCTCTGGGATTTCTGCTTTTTGTTCATCTTCTTTTATTTACCCAGGATTTCCAGGAGAGTTGGCTTTGCACTCTCCCGCTTTCCCCCTTTCCTTTCTTTGGAAAAGGGGCGTGTATGAGAACTTCTGGGAGAGGTCCAGTGAGGCTGAAGTCCAGGGGCAAGATGGGGCAGTTCACTAAAGAGCACTTTATTTCTTTGAAGCCTTTGTAAGAAAGAATCGGGGGTACGTGTGGCTCAAATACCCCCTTATTTGGAGGGCACTTAGTGGGGTTGACGTATGACATATTATTTCCCTTTGGGGAAAGGAGAATTTCTCTGCGCGGGTGGCAAAATGCCTTTGCCTAACGTCCCTGTTTTAAGCATCTCTTTCTTATTCCTTCCATTCGAGGTTGTGACTTAGACACACCTTCCCATTTCTCTCCAAGGTTCCCCTTTTGCAAATGGTCACTCCTTTTTTTCCTAAACCCTTTCCCACTCAGATCCATACCGGATTTGCAAGGATAGACTAAATCCGACACACACACACCCTCTGTTCATCTGTGTCTTCTGAAAACTAGTCTCGTGAAGAGCCCTGGAGGGTGGCCAGAGAAAGTGAAGTTTGGGGCCGGGACTGGAGATTGGCCATCAGGCTTCCTGCAATTCCAGTGCCCTTCCACCAAGCTCAGCCTTGCTGAATGGCACAGGACGGACCTGATTCCCTTGGGGCCTCTGTTTCCCCTCCCCTCCATGAAATGGAGAGAATACTGCTTTTTCTTGTTAGTCCAGCACCACTGGACGCGACGTGTAGTCATTGTTGTGGTATTGGGTGATGTGTGCGAAACTGCGGGGATCCACTGCCTGAGAGGGAGTGAGGGAGGAAGGGGAGGAGAGGGGCAAAAGGAGCAATATTTGGTGTCGACCCACCCATCCCAGCTTCTCTCTCCTCCACCCCCTCTCCCATGTTTCTGGTTTGGTGAGTCTTTCATACCACCCATAATGCTTTGCATTGGTGCAGACTGGGAAAGGGTGTATGGGCTCACAAGTTGTTTTTTTGCATGCTTTCTTAATTAAAAAAAAAGAATGTTTACAGTTTTATCTTACTGCTGTTGGTCTCCGTTTGTTTGTTTGTTTGTTTTGTTTTTGTTTTTAACCAGGATAGAAAAGGAGAAATGTGAAAGCCTTTAGTTTCTGTTAGTCTTTAGCTCCTTTCCAAGCTTCCACCACTGGGTTGAGTTAGTCAAATCTGACATTTGTTAAAAAATTATTTTCTATTACCTTTGTTTATCATCATCATTATTATTATTGTTATTGTTGTTGTTGTTTTCCATTTTGATCAGAGAAAGACCGAGAGGGAAAGTGAAAAAGCAAGCTACCAGGTCTAGGACTTGAATCGCAGTGGTCCATGTGGGAGTCCAGCGCCTTTAACCACCATGCCACATGCTGGCCCCAAACCTGACATTTTTAAAAGACTGATAGAAAAGAAAAATGCAATACATATTTTAACATATCCTTTGAAAATGCTATTCACATAGTGAAAGTTGCTGGGAGCCCACGCGACCCCTTGCAGGTTGGTGTGTGGAGCAGACCCGTCTTTCCTGCATTCTGTTGGGTTGTTGGAAAAGTCGTGACACATTTTTGCATAGGAAACATGTAGAAATACTTTAGAAAAGGAAGATGTTACACTTTGAGGAGGGGATGTATTCCTGTCTGGGACTTCCTGTGGAAGAGGTATTGCAAAATTGTTTCAGGTACTCACTAAAGCTTTTTCATCTAAAACAAGAGAATTCTAATCATAGGAATTTCTTCAGAATACATTCCCGAAGTAGTAGACCTCTCAAAAGGAGTCCAGAAATGTCAATCATGTATTGTACGTTAAATCTTTAAAATTATACCAAAATTATTTTTTGGAGAGGTTTTTATTTTTATTTATTTTTATTATTTTTTCTGTAGGGTGCGTGCACTGGCCAGAGAGACAGAGACAGCGCGAATTCACCCCCCAGTGGGGATAGCCACGCTGCAATCCCTTCTCCATTCTCCTCTTGGGATCTTGGGCACACATGCACATGTACCCAGCATGAGTTTAAGCCACCGGATCTGGGACTTGAACCGCAGTCGACTACAAGGGAGTCCAGTGACATAGCCATTACGCCAACTGCTGGTCCCATAAAATTATACCAAAATTATTTACCCTAATAACCCAGGAGAATTAAGACTTATACTTAGGGTCTTGCAGTATGTGTCATTGTTTCCAGAAGCCTGGCTAATCTCTGTGTTAAAAGATTGCAGTCACTGTGAGATTTTCCGCTGCATATTTAGTGTTTATGATATATTCTAAGTGTCAGACAACGAAAAGGACTCGTGAGTCTTTGAGCCCTGCAGGGCGCCATGAGGAAAGTGCATTTATTCACATCAACTATAAAAGCAAAGTAAATTGGAAAGGTAGCACTAAGAAATCTGACATTACGTCAGTCGTTATATCCGCGCAGAAAGAATTCTCTGATTGGAAAATTCTCTGCATAGCACTTTATGACAGGTTGGTAGTCTCAACCTATACCTCAGCCACTGAACAGAGTAATGTTTTACAAATGAAAAAATCTCATTTTCTGTTTTTTAGATTAAATCTTTTTTTCTTTTTTTGGAGAGGTTTTTGCTATAGGGCACGTGCACTCGCCAGAAAGACAAAGAGAGACAGAGAGACAGAAAGTGAGAAATCACCCCCCAGGGGGGATGGCCATGCCACAATCCCTTCTCCGTTCTCCTCTTGGGATCTTAGGCACGCACGCACACGTGCCCGGCGAGAGTTTAAGTCACCAGGTCCGGGACTCGAACCACGGTCAAATACGTGGGAGTCCAGCGACATAGCCATGATGCTAACTGCTGGTCCCTGAGATTAAATCGTTTTTAAAAAGAATTTTATTTTATTTTATCCATCATCATCATTATTATTTTTGGAGAGGTTTTTGCTATAGGGTGCGTGCGCTCACCAGAAAGACAGAGAGAGACAGAGAGACAGAAAACAAGAAATCACCCCCCAGGGGGGATGGCCACGCTCCAATCCCTTCTCCATTCTCCTCTCGGGATTTTGGGCACGCATGCACACACGCCCGGCGTGAGGTTAAGTTACCGGGTCCGGGACTCAAACCGCGGTTGACTACGTGGAAATCCAGCGACATAGCCATTATATCAACTGCTGGTCCCCCATCATTATTATTATTTTAATTTGACCAGGGTGCCGGGGAGAGAAAGAAAGCAAGGCACCAGGTTCAGGACTCAAACTGTGGTCAGCTATGTGGGAGTCCAGCACTTCAACTACCTCGCCACTTACCGGCCCCTTTTAGATTAAATCAACTTAGTTGAGGCTATGTTGTGGCACAAACGAGCCTGAAATTGCAGGATTTTAACACACAGAAGTCTACATACAAAGAAAAGTTAAAAGACGGTAGAGAATTTGTTGTGTA